TAGTGAATAATTGTTATCAGGACTGATTGTGAGGGGAATGATTAACTTTGCAATCTAGGAGCGGAGGTCCCTGGGACCATCAAGGGAGAATAGCAGAGAGCGAGACCCTACCCAGAGAAGCAGTAATGCCTGAGATGGCGACAGAGACAAAGACATGGAGAGATGGAGTGGCTGGGGACTCTAGACCCATAGAGGGAGAAGGGCTGTGTGCTGATGACCAGGGGGTCGGGGGGGTGGTAGGCTTGAAGAGTATATCCTTTGGTTAGTTGATGATGCATGGAGGGGACTGTAACCATGGCAATGAAACAATTGGATGAATGAATGTAAAACTAATGTTCTCCCATGTAAACTATCACATAATTCACAATAAAACATTAAAAAAAAAAAAAAAGAAAGAAAGAATATTATGGAAACAAAATGTGATTTCCTAAATGAGAGACTCTGGGCCTGAGTGTAAGTTTCCTCTTCTTTAAATGCACCACCTACTCAGGTGATGTGAAAGCACTTGGTATGGTTAAATATACTATATAAATGCACATTATTAGTAACAACAAGGTATTATTATGTTTGCCTTATTGGAAGAAGCCCTGCATGACTGGTCATGTCAGCTTTCTGTGCTCATCACCATTTACTTGGCATAGCTGGATACATCTTCATCCTGAGCCAGAAACTGTTTTCCTAATATCTTGGCCCATTCTTGAAATCTGTTCTCTTAAAAACATCTCTAATCTATTTTTAGCTTTCTGTCTTAAGACCACACAGGGAAAGTTTGACCCTCTGCCAAGGTAAGGCTTAGCAAATATCCGAAGACAGTCCTATGTTTCAAGTCTTCTGTTCTTTAGATTAAACACCTCTAGGTTCTTTAACTGTGTCTCAAGTTGCCTTATTATCTTGCATGTGCCTATGAATGAACTCTGGCTGGTCTACTTCCCCTCAACATGTGGGTGCCAAAATGCAATGTAACACCTCATGTGAGTGCACAGATCCAGAGTCAATGACTTTTTTGGAAGCGCTCTGGTAGCTTAGTGGTTACGAATCGGGCCGTGAACCACAAGGTCAGCAGTTCGAAACTACCAGCTGCTCCGAGGGAGAAAGATGAGGCTTTCTGCTCCCGTAAAGATTTACAGCCTCAAAAACCCTGTTCAGGGTCGCTATGGGTCGGAACCAACTTGACGGCACTTAACAACAACAACCACCACCACCACCACCACCATACTGTTAAGAAGCTTTGGTAGCGTAGTGGTTACAAATTGGGCTGTGAACCTTAAGGTTAGCAGTTCAAAACTATCAGCTGCTCTGCAGCAGAAAGATACAACTTTCTGTTCCCATAAAGACCTACAGCCTCAGAAACCCTGTATAGGGTCACTATGGGTCAGAACTGACTTGACGGCACTTAACACCACCAATAACCATACTGTTGGAAGGAGCTCTGGTAGCGTGGTGGTTATGAGTCGGGTTGCTTACCTCAGCAGTTCAAAACTACCAGCTACTCAGCAGGAGGAAAATGAGGATTTCTGCTCTGGTAAAGATTTACAGCCTTGGGAACCCTATTCAGGGTCACTAAGTTGGAACCGACTCCACGGCATACCACCACCATACTGTTGGGAGTCCTGGTGTGGTACTGTGGGTTAATGCGCTGGATTGCAAAGTCATTTGAACTGCAAGGTCGACAGTTCAAGCTCCTTGAAAACCCTATACAGGGTCGCTATGGGTTGGAACCAACTTGAAGGCACTTACAACAACAACAACAACCATACTGCTGACTTGGGAAATCTCCATGACTTCTCATTTTTGCTGCTAAGGCACATCTCACGGTCTGTATTCATATGTGACTTTGTTTGTTTATGAAGACACGCAATTATTCAATTACCCATAGATCCAGTCCACTAGTCTACCGTGAAGCTTAGAGTGCTGTTCTGTCTTCTAGTAAATCTCTTTTTAGCTTCATTTCCTTCTTTATTTTCCTGTTAATTCAATTAGGATGCCATCATGTCCTCATCTAAGTTCAACTAAGACACAAAGGCCAGGTGAGCATGTATGTACTCACACACTCAGTCAACAAATTTACAGAGAGCTGATACATGCTGGGTACTGGTCTAAGTTCTAAGGATGCAACGGGAAACAAAAATAGGCATTTTTGTGCTCATAAAATATAGCCTAAAATGGAGGACAAAAATATTAATCAAGCATTGACTCTCATGTACTACAAATGAATTCAGTGTGCGGCGTATATACAAAGACACCTGATTCTGGCTAGGGTCTTAGGAGAACGTGACACTGAAGGTTGAGCAAGGTTTGCTAGGTGAGGAGGGAAAAGAAGTAAGCCAGATGAAGCATATAGAGAAGCGCTACACGAAACAAAAACTTTCTTCAGAATGGTAGTAGGCTGCTTAATTCCACCACTGTAAAGCTTCCAGTTCTACACCCGGTCTCTAGTGTTATTCTGAATAGCAAACTGACTCTTCAAGGCTAAACCAAAGTCTAGATTATCAATCAGTTCTTACAGAATCTAGAATTTAGAAACATTTGCTTACCTCGAGCATTCTAGCAATATTTCCCCTCAAACAAGAGCCTTTAAAGTTCAACAACTACATTTTCAAAACATTGCTTGTAAGTGTCTTTATATTGAAGGCGTAATTTATCAGACCAGAAGACTTAAAAGCAGCCAGAATGGTGCTTCTCAAAGTATGATCCAAAGCTGGCTGGATCAGAATCACCTGAGGCATTTATTAAAATGCAGATTCCTGGCACCATCCCAGAGTAATCGAATTAAGAGTTGGTGGGACTCAGAAACCTGTATTTCGAAATAGCCTCCCTAAGTGAGTCTGTATATTGTTTCAGAATCCCTGGAGTAGCTGTGTTCTCACAGAACTTCAATTCCCCAACTTTCAATTCTCCTTGAGTCTGAAGTACATCATTCTTGGAGTATTCCACCAAAGAAGACAAAGCAGGGTTTGGGAGTCCGAGACCTGGATTCAAATCTAGTTCTGTGACTTATTATCTAGATGGCCTTGGACAAGTTACTTAAAATTTCCAGGCCTTAACTGCTTGACTGATAAAATGTAAATGCAAATACTGACTTCATAAGGAGGTTGCTGAACCATCCATAAATGGGAACGGCAGAAGAAGGGCAAAGGAAGCCTATCATTCTTTGGAACATTTACTGAGCCCTACATACCATTTAGGGAGTCCTGGTATGGTGCTGTGGGCTAATGTGTCAGACTGCAAAGCTGCTTGAACTGCAAGGTCGGTGGTTCAAGCTCACCAGGTGCTCCCTGGAAACCCTATACAAGGTTGCTATGGGTTGGAATCGACTCAACAGCACTTAACAACAACAATGTACCATTTATACCAAGATGAACAAGACATTATCAGGTACTGTGCACCATACCATGTACACCAGGGCGAAGGGCACACTGCCCATTTCATGAATTTGGTATTTTTGCATTTGTCTTGTGATTAAGGTAGCACTTTCCCCAACCCTTGCATTGTCTTCTATTAAAAGACTCCCATGAAATAATGTGGGTAGATCTCCCCCTAGAACTGTCTGAAATCTCCTTATCACTATATCATGCCAAAGTCCTGACTCTCTAGCATGGCTTCCACCTGAATCTTTTCTTCCAGCCTCACCTCTCAGCAGTCTCTGCTCAGTTAATAGCATGCCAGTGACTAGGAGCAAATGTTAGTTCTGCTACTTACTATCTGTTCTTGGTCAAGTTCCTTATCTCAACTGTGAAGCAGGGATAACAACAGTGTCTAGTTCAAGAGCAACTTGTAAGAATTAAACAGTACTGAGCTGGCACTCAAGAAGCAATGCTGGTATTTTTTGTGTGTGTGCCATCGAGTCACTTCCAACTCACAGCGACTCTGTATAGGGCTTCTGAGAGCAGCTAGTGAATTTGAACTGCTGACCATGCTGTTAGGGGCCAGTGCTTATCCTACAGCACCACATCAGCACCAAAAACAATAGCTATTCTCATTGTCAAGAAGTTCTGGTGGTGGAGTGGTTAGGCACTTGGCTGCTAACCA